TCTGTCTAACTTTTTTCAAAAATATTTGAAATCCTTGCTTAGCAGCCATTGTTAATGTTCAACAAATTCATTTTATCAAAGTGAATGAATAATTTTGTTAAATAATCTAGATCTCAATTTCAATCAAAAAAAATTGTGATTATAATTTTTGCACTAATCGAGCAGCCCCAGTTTGACCAAAATGGAGGTTCTTAGCCTTAACCTCTGGTATAAAAGGTGGCGGATGCTAACCTTTAATTAGTTAAGCTCATAAAAGGTAAATAGCTACAACAGAAACAGTAACGTTCAGAAGCTTTTCTCAATAAAAGCTGACAAGTTACTTGCAGCTTTTTTTTAGGCGCATATCCTGATCAGCAGCCACGAGTCTGAATATCCTGATGAAAAGCTTTTTATAGCCCCTCATTGCCATGATGAGCAGTGGTGCATTCATCAGGGTTTTACACAGGAACGCCCACAGGGCAGGAACGAACGGATCAATGGGAGAGGCTCCTGTGTCCACGTGGGGCTGAGTAAAGGTGACGGGCACCTTCTCCGCTGCCTCTGGGGTTAAAACACGGGGATGAACGAAGAGCGCGCTGACACCAAGACAGAATTTATAGCAGCAGAACTTTTGTCTTCCCTCTTCCTCTGCTGCTTCGGTCCACTTGCCCAGAACTGCTGCAGCATCTCGGCTGCGTTCAGCAGCACAGAGTTTATCACGGGACGCCCCGGTGAATGATCTAAGCTGTTTTCTCCTCTTTTAACTTGTCGCCTCAGCAAGAGGAGCAGCAGTTTTGTGAAATATAGAGTAAAGCCTTGTGTAGTCAGCCCTCCAACTCTTTGACCCTGTTTTTTTGGCTAAGCTTGCCTTGACGGTGCTCTGCTTTAGCTGACTGTAGCACCTAGATTCTGCTAAATACTCAAGTTACTCACATGCACTCAGCAAATGGGGTATTTTGCTTTGCTTACACACAAAAAAAATGCTGTGAAATGTTTCTAAATTTTACAACCACTTATGTGCATTAATGAATGAAGAACCTACAGATGTAAAAAAGCGCTTATTTTGTACTAATGCTTTATATATGAGTGGACAGAAACATAAATGTGTTCACTTAAACCATCATTATTAAATAAAAAATAAAAAGCAGCTCCACAATTATGAGATCCTCAACAAAATTAATTGTTTAAGCCTCAAAATATTTATTATCTGTAATTCTGTGTAGATGCCTCCTGTGGTGGAATCTCACTATGAGCAACAATGAGCAATTAGTTTTTAAAAAAATAGAAAATAAATCAATTTTCTGTTGTAGTATGAGTGTTAGTAGGCCTGTCACGATACGATACGATACGATACGATACGATACGATACGATACAATGATACTTTATTAGTCCCACAGGTGGAAAGTGGAAGTAGACAGCACAGAAATCAGAGCAGCAGGTATGAAACAATAAAAAAATAAAACAAATGTTAGCAAATGTTGCTGGGTGATAAATTGTCTCTGAAATTATTGAGAAAAATGATAATATTGTTTGGAGACCATTTTAAACTAGTATAACGATAGCGCCCCCTCATCCCGGCCTGCTGACGAAGTTTACAGACGTTTATGAAATTTACGTACGTAAAAAAATAAATAAATAAAAATAGAAGCTACAAACTGACCTGGACTGGAAATTACGAAACAACACACAACAACAGCTGCTGAAGCTGTAACATCACTTCCCAGCTCCTTGATCCAAGAAGAAACAGCTTATCAGTGTGCATTGCCAATGCAATGCACGCTATTGTGATTCGTTTCCCATCCAAGTTTTCTCCACTTTGGCACGCTTCTCCTCCTGCATACTTTGTCCTAGAGCTGCCATTTTAATTTACATCTGTAAAGCTCCTGTGCCAAATGATGGCTATGTCTTTTGGTGCCTGTACAACTTATGGTTTTTGAAATTTTAATGTTTAATGTCCTGATGCATCTCAGTAATCCAGGTAAAAAATCAAAGAAAAAAAATTGTATAATGGCTTCTTTTACTCCTCTCTCAAACCAACGTCGTTGGTTTGAGAGAGGAGTAAAAGAAGCCATTTTTGTAAAGAAAGACCGTCCATCATTAAACAGAGGTGGGGGCCTCCGTTTTCAGCTGTCCCCCTGCTACAGTGCTGCCATTGGCAGTATCACTCCACCCCCTGTTAACAAAAGGTATTAATTAGGGTGAACGATAGCCATGTGATGTGAGTATGAGTCAYCTGTGARCCATAGCCAGGTGATGTGAGTCACCTGTGAACGATGGTCATGTGATGTGAGTATCAGTCACCTGGAGGCAGGACATAAAAGCCTGAATTTGCCTGAAACTCTCAGACTGAAGAAGTCTCTTGGAAGAGAGACGAAACGTTTCATTAAAGAAGAACCCGTCCAGAGGACCTATACAATTTTTTTTCATTAATGTTTAATAATTTATAATGAGAGTCAATAGAGCCTTGTATTGGTCCAATACTGCCCCCTGCTGTATCTACTCAGTACTGAACCATAGTTKAATAWTATTTGATCTCAATAGTTCAGTGGTTACAATACTAATATGATTGTATTTTGATGTTTTACTATAATGTTGTCTTAATACTGCTCTATTGTTGCAATATTATGCAGTTTTGTGTCAATAATTGTATTGGCAATGTGGCCTCTTTCTGCACACATACAAACCAACCCCTGGCACCACCCTTGGCCAAAGCTCCAATGGTCTAATGCTCAATGCCATGGACTTTCATGTGGGACAACAGGGTTCAAAACCCAGCTAAAGCAACATTAACAGAAAATCTCTACAAACTTCATATTGTCACACAATTACCCTTATTACAAACACCTGCTGACTTGACAAGCACAAACTGGTGTAGAAAACACATTTGTACTTGGTCACAGTTCTTTCTGCAAAGCCACGCTGCAATGATATGCTACATGGCAATGCACACTTGTTTTTTACATCGTAAAAACCCATGTCTAGTTCTGTTTGTTTCTTCCTCTGGTTTCGTAATATAACTGCAGTCTCCCTCATGCCACTAGTTTACGAACTTTACATAAGGTTATGGACAGACTAGGAAGCGGAGGCATCGCTTCCCACTTCTATCCAAGCCGGCACAATTTATTCTGCGTGTGTCTTCCGCTGTTTTCATAAAATAACTCTCGTCACCCACACGCTGCTTGTGAAGTTTACAAAATTTACGTAGTGCAAAAAAAAAAGCAACTCTCTGCGGCTACCACATTTCTGAGGGGGTCCTGAGGCACCCCCAGCTGAAAGAAGGAAAACCAAAGTTGCTGCTCTAGTTAAAAYGCCTGATCACGTCTCATGCTACAGATGTTACGAGACCACGAGCCTGGCAAATACCTGACGCCAGAGTTCACTCCTCCCTACGCTAAAGAGGGAAACACAAAGAAAACAAGCAGGAAAATGAGATTTATCAACCTCATTTTAATTTGTAACGAATAATTGATTTATTGCTTATCGCCACAGGCCTAAGTGTTGGTGAGCAATGTGGCAATTTGAGGTCAGTTTTTGGTAGTCATGTCTTTTTATGTGCACAGCTTGATGTGTTCCTGGCTGTGCACATTACTTTGCTGCCCACCTCTGCAACTTCCCCCGATGTTTCTAAGTTAACGTACACTTTTGAAATAAAGATAGGCAGATTTAACTTTACCTAACCAAACCTAATGATTAATAATTATCGTCAGTATGCGTTGTAGATCTGGACTTTCAGACATGAAATTGAGACGCAAAAAAAAAGAAAAAAAGAAAAACATTGTTGCACAAATTCAAGCAACTCTGGAATTGTGAGGAAAGTGAGACGTCCTGCAAACGTTTCAATRCATTCTGGACATACACAGCTCTTAGAGATACTACATTTAACAACAGGGAACAATGTGTATTTTAGTGCAGTGGTTCCCAAACTTTTTGTCTTCTGACCCACAAAATATCCATGGCAAAAACCTGTGACCCCAAATATTACTGG